CTTTTGAAGAAGGAGCTCATGCTGTTGTGCTTTGGCGCAACTGGTGCCAAATCAAATCTTCGTTTGACTTGTGAACAACATGGTCAGCATGGCGGTTTTGGTGTTTTTGCAGTCATACCGGAATGGGTGAGAATTAAGGCTGAACCGTTTCATGCGTAAGGCCTTTGGGTACAACTCGCCTTGACCCAGTCCATCTGACAGCTGACTACAGAATAATCAGATGTTGAATTTGATGTTTATGCGACAGCATACGAAAAGTAACTCTTTCCACTAAAATCTGCCTGTACCTTGACTCGGTCAGGTGAGTGTTATTGCGAGGCATGAACACAGCTGGCAGGTGCGACAGAATTATCTGTCACACCACAAGGTAACAAGCGTGATGATGATCATAACAATGGGGGAACAAGAGCGACGGTTCAGCTGCACACATCAGCGTTAGCTCAGACACATAATGAAGGGTAATTGGCATGACCATGTAATGAATTATAATATCCTATTCCAAACATAGGTGACACCAGTAGGTAAGGAAATTAAGAAAAGGAGGTTGTCCTTATTAGACAAACTGCACGAACATATCGCGTACTTCAGCCCAACGTCTCGTGGCAGCCTTAACACGGCAGAGGTAAATCAGCAGGTCAACATGCAACACGGAGGAATAAAATAGAGATAGATTTGCTATCAGAGAAGAATATTTCTTTATACGATGCAGTAGCCAGTACCTTACAGCAGAAGCGTTGAAAAGAGAATACAGCGGACATCCAAAACCAGAGATGTTCTATTTATGCAGAGAGCTCAAGATGAAGAGCTCAACAGACAACATAAAACGGGTACCAGCTCCTGAAACATTGCTCATGATTAGGAAGAGGTTGCTCTGACTAACAGAATGATGTAAAATGAAGCAATCATTGCAGGTGCGCTAATACAATAAAGCCATGGTGCAATGTACCTGATTTCTGGTCTTGGAAGAGTCATGTGCCGGTGTTTCGGCATAAGGCGCAAATGATTTATTAATTTTAACTTTATTAACTCAAATGACTGCAGGGAATTCATTGGATATGGTTCTCCCTATGATGTTAGTGTTGTTCTACTCCTGAATGCAAAATGAAGCCGAAAAGCCGAGGCCGAAACGTTACGATCAGGTTTATCCCTCTGTCACCGCTTATTCCGCATTTCGACAGCAAGCCATGCTTTAACAACGTTTAGCCAATAGAGAATAACCTAAGAACAGACACCATTTCCGTCGCTTTCCTAATAATCGGTAGAATCAGAGAAACTGGAACAAATATATTGCTTCCACTGAACATATATCGATGAATCACACTGTATATAGATCAACCAGCAAACGAACGGACGAAGAAACAATGCCTGGTCAACCACTGACTGATAGATATGATTTATTGCATTTTATGATTCAATGTTTGTAAGCGAGATTGTTTGTACAGTTTCTTTCAAATTGACTAGGCTATTATGATTACTTGCATATTCAAGCAATAGACCAAAACCAACAACGACCACATTACTGACATTTGACACTATGCTACCGGTTCACACAAAGGAGCCCTTTTCATAAAAGCTTTGCAGCGACACCGAGTAAACGACAGACGTGGTATCACATGATACTTCACGTAATGAGTCTGAATGACGAAATTCTTCTGTAAGCCGAAAGTTTCAAGACCAGGGGTTAGACTCACGTTTGTCACTGCAATATGCAAATGATGCAGTACGAATTGCAACATCTCCGGTGGGGACGCAACTTGTGATTAAGCAGACAACTCGAAGAGAAACTTTAGTCTCAAACTGAACTGGACAAAAATTACAGTAACCGAAAATCCGAGCGACGGTGTTCAATTGTAAAAATTTACTCCCTCCACCTCCAACAAAATGACGCTTGCAGAATGGAGGTTCGTCAACGTCTGTGAAGTGCCAAAAGCGACATGGCATAGCTCACCAGATTATGACAAAGTCGTCACAGCATCAGAAACTCGACGCAGCTGAGACTTGACATATCTCTAATCTGGTCGGTGGCCAGCTGTGAATGCGAAAGTTGAGCCACCCAGGACGAAGAACACAAATCCACTGAACGAATACTCAGTCAGTGCGGCCGCATTCCGCCCGCCCATGCTGACTCAATTTTTGAGGTCTGTCATTTACCGCTTCTCCGAATCAAAATGACTCGCGGCAGAGTGTGGGATTCGGTCGAAAGATCATTGGGTCGAACTCAGGCCACAGCAGCGTGCCTTTCATTATTCCGAGGTGGATCAACGAATTTCATCACGTGGCAAAGAAGTTAGGAGGCATTTTATAGTTGCAACGACGATGCAGATATTGTCTTTAAAAAATGTGGCACTCCTGGCTGCTGGCCTAGTAATATACGATAAGCTTAATGAAAAAAGTTACAGCTCGAGTAAGTGTAGACCAAGAGACGGCATCCAAAACTTCGCTTTACCCAGCTTTTAAGGGATGACCCAAAAAAATACTTTCCGTGGAGATCAAACAAGGTAAATACCACAGTTGGAACAGTCGCGTAGCCACATTTTAGGTTTCTGACCTTCATATCTGACAGTAGTCACTGGGTTTGTCTATCGCTCACGTGCCGCTAACTTGATTGACACTCATGATTTCGATCCATAGCACGAGACTTTTTCTAAGAAAGTGAAAAAAGATGAAAAAAGATGCGGTGAATGTTTGCGCGTGGATCCGCTCTAAGTTTTAGTGTGGAGAAACTTTAAATGGTCAAAAGGGGTAAACTTGAACGTCAGCTATTGGAAATGCCCTTTGGTTGTCTTCAATCAAACGATATCAGTCATGAAATTAAGAGCTATTCGTGTATAATAATGTTATAAATCTTTAAGTTATCAACCTGTAAGTTTAGGCAAGCACCAACAAGGATAAACTGCCAGCAATGTAGAACTACCAAAAATAGCCGTCAAAACCTTGCTGAAGTAACAATCCAGCATCCACAATCAATTAATTACTCTGAAAGCATCCAAAACGCTCGCTCATCTCCTCTGGCCACGAAAAATTCGCTGATGGAAAACGATTTTTTGCCCACTAGTTTTAGTTTGTGGGAGTACGCCCAGCCGGTGTACATGTGTTTTGTGGACCTAGAGAAAGCGTATGACCGGATCCCAC